TCCCACGCGCCCCCCCCCTCAAGTAAAAATTAAGTTTTTTTTTTTTTGAAGGGAATAGTTCATTAAACAAAAAAAATTTATAGAGTTTAAAAAAATTATTATATGCTACCTTCTTTGGAATATTTTTTTTATGCACCCGCCTATTAAATTTTTTTGTCACTTCTTTTGTCCTAAATCTTGCCCTAAAAATATATATATATTTTGCTTGACACACTTTTAGTTACTAATATTCTGCTTCAGTGCTTTTAATAAACGAGCTTTAGGGATTACAGTGTGTTTTTCTTTATTTTCGTATGACTTAATTTTTTAAAAAAACTTTTCGTATATGTAGTAGATATCGGAGTAATGTATTATTTTTTAATATTTAATTATTTTTGTGCTGTATTCCTTCCGCCCCCTCCACCCCCCCTCTCAAATATAAGCCATTCACCCACCTGTCTATGTATCCCATAAATGTTATCTTCAAAAATTATGGATCATTCTAGCCACGTAACAGGAACAATTAAATTTCATGAATTCGATGTTAGCCTTTCCCTCTGGAGGATATCATCATATTAGATTGGATCAAAGTTTTAAATTTCAGACCAGACCAGCCGGTTTCGACCGGTCAATCGGTGAACTGGTCACAATGAGACCGGTTCTGTTTAGACTTTAAAACCGCGCTTTGACAGATTTGACAGCGATAACTGGTTGAGTTTATGTCGGCATCAACCGGGCAAAACTGGCTCCCGGTTATTTGAAAACCTGCTGTTTCAAAATCCAACGAATGTTTTTAATATTTTTTAAATGAAATTAATTACATATATTTAAACATTAAAAATTATAAATACATTTTTATTATTACTTACTGTTCCCAAACCATCATGAAGTATTTCACATGAACCCTACCCACTCATGAGAAGTCTCTAATATCGATTTAGCTTCTCCTCTGATATCATCAGTAAGATTTGATCAATATTTTAAAATTCAGACCAACCAGGTCGGGATTCAACCAGGTTCAATCGTGAACTGGTCACAAGACCGATCTGATTAGTTCTTAAAACGCCTTTTGCATTGAACGGACTGAAACCGGTGAGTTACTGTCGGATCAACCGGCAGAATCATAAAGGCCGCGGTATTTGAACCTGGTCAAAATCCACAAATTATTAAATATTTTTATACAATAATAAATTACATATATTTAAAACATTAAAATAATTAAATACTCTTTTATTATTAACATTTGCCCCAAACCATCATGAAGTATTTTCACAAATGAACCCACCACTCCATGTAGAGTCTTAAACATAACAAAACTCAAAATAATGCTATATAAACAATAGCAAAAGTTTTTTCAAGTGATGTGGGACTAAAGAAAAGAGTTGAGATGTATATGAGCTCATAAATATATAATGCATATAAAAACTATTTTTAAACAGATTTTTTAATTAATTTTTTTTTATGTAAATGATACTTAATGTATTATTAATAATAAAATTTTATTGTATTTTAGTACACTAAAAAAATAATTTATCATTAATAATTTTATGTTATTTATATAATGATTTTAGATATAAATTTATAAAATAAATTTGTATTGCAACATAATCAGTGTAAAGATATATTAATCATATAAATATAAAAATAAGAATAATTTTTATATTAAATTATAAATTATGTTAGAATTAAATTTATATTAAATATGTATCATAAATTTTAGTAATTTAAATATATATGAATAGTATGGTTATAGTAAAAATTAAAGATTAATTTAAAATTTGGAAAAATATTTAAATTTAAA